GATTTGAGACCTCATCTCAACCACATACCAGGCAGTTGGGAGGAAGGGAGAGTGGGCTCAGGAAACAGGAATATGTTTGGTTGCTGGGGGTAACCTCAGGCCACCCCACCCCCTTTGCAACCCTGGGGCCACCCTACCCCCTGAAAAAGGGAAGTTCCCTTCTGCCCTGACTGAGCTTGCGGAGCCAGCCTCAAGACTCTGCGTGCAGACACTGGCTTGTGCATTTCCTGAAAGTCATTGGGCAAGCTTGGAGGTAACAGACAGCTATGTACACATTCTGTGGCTAGCTAGGCTTTCTGGAGGGCTGGGACAGAATCTTCATGCTCAGTAGGCCCCAGAGCTGTGGGTTCAGATCCTTCTTGGTGGCCAGATAAGACCTCGGGCGTTAGAACCTGGGTTGAGAGGCTATAATGGTGGGTCTGCCATGTGGGTTGGGACAAAGTGGCTTTGTCCAAGGAGCTTGTGCACGGAGCTGGCACCAATCCACCTTAGGTGGGGGGGTGGGGGTCAACTCAGGGTGCTGGGAGGTGGGCAGGAGGGGAGAAAGGGCTGGGTAAGGGCTACTTGGATTAACTGGTGGGTCTCAGAGGTTGATGTGGGTCACCCCTAAAAAAACGGGACACCCAGTACCCTGCATGGAGACTGTTTCAGAGTAAGGAGAGGTGAGAATTATTTGCCCAAGTTGCTGTTGAAGGGACTCAGTCAGGGCTCAGTTATACCTATCATTTGGTCTCTTAGGTAGCCCTGTACCAGGTCCCCTGAGGGACGCATGATCTAAGGAGATACAGGGCACTAAGGTCAGGAGAGAACTCAGCCCTGGGAGCTCTGACTGGGAACTGAAGTGGCTTTGGCTCCTGTGTACCCGCTGAGCCCCACTTGGCTCCTCCATGCTCTTACAGGCCTTATTTCCCTGGAGGATGCTGTATAGGCAGCGGAGGCTCCATCCAGGCTGTGCGTGGGACTTATGCTGTCTTGTCCTCTCCCCCAACGAGATCGTTCTGCACTGCCCAGGGCACCTCCAGGCTCAATTCTAGCCCTGTCTTAGAATAAAACTCTGCACAGGCAGGGAGACATGGTGCTTGGTCTTGCTGACCCCTAGGTGGGCACTAGGCTCCAAATTGGTTCTTCCTCCACCCAGACAAGCATTTGTTCTTCACTTTGGCTTTTCCCAGCCTCCAGCTTTTTGCTGTGGTGGTACAAGCTGGTGTGGTGGAGGGGAATCTTTGTGGAGGAGCCAAACAGGTGGGTTCTCCAAGGGCAGGAGGGCTTCAAAGGCATCCCCAGAGTGAGGGTGTTAATTAGTAACTGGCTGCAGGTTTGGCTGTTGCCAGACTCGCCTTTCTGGGTTGATCATTGAACCGGCGGGAGTTGAGGAGATTAATAGCTAACTGGCTGCTGAGGAGGCCCTCATGAAGGCCACGCTGCAAGCCACACCTCGGGGCCCAGCCCCAGGCTAGATGGGCTGCTTTAGCCTGTGGGGGAGAGACATGTGCCCTGGCTGTGCTCTGAGGAGAAGGACTCACAGGTCCCGATTCAGCAGGCCTGCCTGGGTCCCATCACTCTGGTTTCCAGCACAGTGCTCCCAAGCCCCAGTTTCAGCTCCAGCAGCTTTAGGTACTCGTGGCTGCCACACTGGTTTAGTGTAGAGGACCCCAGGGTGCAGTCATCAGAGACTCTGTTAGAGGTTTTGTGGCAGAACTTTCTAGAACACTATGTTCCTAGATCTCTGTCTGTTTAGCCAGCCCTTTTCATGGCAACTTTGTAGAGAGGAGCTGTCACCTGTGGACACAGAAACAGGGAGGCCACGGAGGGTTAGATAGATGCCTTGTTCTGAGCAGGACATTGCAGGCCCAGCCAGAAACTGAAGCCACTTCCTCAGCAGGCCCCTAAGGTTTGGTTGACCTGATGGACCCTGTCCCACAGGTTTTGCTGGCCAGAACTGTGAAGAAAATGTGGATGACTGTCCAGGAAACAACTGCAAGAATGGAGGTGCCTGTGTGGATGGTGTGAATACCTATAATTGCCGCTGCCCACCGGAATGGACAGGTATGTACATGGGCCTTCCACGGGGCAGCCTTCTGCTAGCTAAACTGCAAACAATGGAGTGATGTGAAGGTCTGAGCTCTGTTCTATGCTTGAGAAGCCCAAGCTGGAAGACCCAGGGTGACCCAGGAGACTGGTGGCAAAGTGCAGCTCCTGTGCCTCCACTCAGAGTCAGCACAGCTCAGCATCCACTGGGCTATTAGCACACTTCCAGAATCAGATCCTCAGCACTGAGCCAGAGAGGAGTCTAGTACTCTGGACAAGCTGCCCAGGGATGGATACAAGGCTGTCCACAGGGGAGCTCACTGGTTAATGGTAAACTCAGACAGCCATGAGATGACAGCCCTTTGGGCTGGAGAGTGGGGTGATGTGTGCTGGCTGCACAAGCCAGCTAGGAAGACTTCCTGGAGAGAGTGGCTTGCAGCCCCACAGTCCAGGGCAGGGAGCTCAGCACGTAGCATCTCTTGAGGTTGATGGTCCTGTGGCCCTCGCAGGTCAGTACTGCACAGAGGATGTGGATGAGTGTCAGCTCATGCCCAACGCTTGCCAGAATGGTGGGACCTGCCACAATACCCATGGTGGCTACAACTGTGTGTGTGTCAACGGTTGGACTGGCGAGGATTGCAGTGAGAACATTGATGACTGTGCCAGTGCTGCCTGTTTCCAGGGTGCCACCTGCCATGATCGTGTGGCCTCCTTCTACTGCGAGTGTCCACATGGGCGAACGGGTGAGTGTACTCGAGAGTCTCCCAGGAGAAGGTGAGCTTGATTGGCTCACCATCCCTGGCTACACACACCCGGGACACTGTGAGTGAGGTGGCAGGGACCAGTTTCACTCAGACGTAGATAGCTCCAGGGCTGGGCATTCAGTTCAGTTGGTAGAGTGCCTGCCTTGCATGCATAGGGGCCTGGATTCAACTCCCAGTGCCAAATAAACTGTGTGGGTAGTGGTACATGTCTATCAACCTAACACTCAGGGAACAGTGGATCAAAAGTTCAAGGTCTTCTTTGGCTATATAGCAAACTTGAGTCCAGCCTGGAATACGTGAGAGACCCTGTCTCGGAGAAGCAAAACGAAACAAACAAACAGATAAAGCTATGGCTCTTTGGCACCTCTAGCAATGACCAGGTGGGCCTTGCTAGATAGAGAGGCATACTGGTGACAAGACACATTATGGGATGCTTGAGTGGGTCACAGGGATTCATTTCAGGGTGTTGGGTGAAGATGGCCCAGCTGCAACAGGGTAGGGACAAGCAATGGCCACTCACCACAGCTGTCCTGTCTAGGTCTGCTGTGCCACCTCAACGATGCATGCATCAGCAACCCCTGCAATGAGGGCTCCAACTGCGACACCAATCCTGTCAATGGCAAGGCCATCTGCACTTGCCCCTCTGGGTACACGGGGCCAGCCTGCAGCCAGGACGTGGATGAATGTGCTCTGGGTAGGTGCAAACGCAATGGCAAGGCAGCGGGAACAGCCTGGCTTGTCATGTGGGGGATGTGACCTGTCCTGGAGAACCACCAGCTGCAGCACTACAGGTGATCTGGAGGCCAGAAGGCCAGATCAGCCCTCATCTGTGCCTCCCCCACCAGGTGCCAACCCCTGTGAGCATGCGGGCAAGTGCCTCAACACACTGGGTTCCTTTGAGTGCCAGTGTCTACAGGGCTACACGGGGCCCCGCTGTGAGATTGATGTCAATGAGTGCATCTCTAACCCATGTCAGAATGATGCCACCTGCCTGGACCAAATTGGGGAGTTCCAGTGTATATGTATGCCAGGTATGTTTGTGCTGCCTCCCACCTTTGGGGCTGCCAAGAGCAGGGAGACTTGAGTCAAGGCTGGATAGCTTCAAGTAACACTTCAGTCAAGGTTAGCAGCATCTGGGAAACTGAGCTTTGGTTAACAGGACAAAGCAGAGAGTGTGCCCAGAGCAGATATAGACATGAACCACAGTGGGCTGGCATACTAGGGCTATATGAGGGAGGATCATTTCTGTCCCAAGTCTTCAGCTGGGGGAGGGGGCTCTAGTAGGGCCTACTGAAGCTATCCTTAGTCTTACCATCATCCATCCTCAGGTTATGAGGGTGTGTACTGTGAGATCAATACGGACGAGTGCGCCAGCAGCCCCTGCCTGCACAATGGCCACTGCATGGACAAGATCAACGAGTTCCTGTGTCAGTGCCCCAAAGGTGAGGCCACCAACTTACGACAGGACCTGTGTCCTCTTGATCTCTTCCCAGACTACTTTAGGGAAGAATTTACCTTTCGAGTTGACCAGGATGTTTTCAGGCCTCCCTCAAAGGTGAAGCTCCACCTGAGTGAACAGTGGGCATTGAGCCCACACTGAGATGTAGGGAGCCTGGCACCAGAAAACATTTACTACAGGGGGGAAGGATGGCAGGATCTGCAGTGCTCCTGAGATAGGAGAGCCCATCTGCCTTGTCTTCCCCATGCCCACTCTTGATGGTCATGGGGAGTGAGGACACAGTGTGATCTGACTTATAGGGCTGGGAAGGACTTGGAGGAACTGAGGAGGGGATGGAGGGGCCTTGTGAGGTGCCTCGCCTGTCTCAGGGCTGGACCAGGCCTTGGGCTTTCTGAGATGTAAATCAGCCATCCTCGACATGGTTGAGCCAGGGGAACCCCATTCACAGCCTAGTGCAGCTGTAACCATAGCAACCAGAGGCGGTTTGGGGAAAAAGGACCCTCTGTTGGGCCAGGGAGGCAGTCACTGAGCAGTGCTGAACAAGGAGCTTTGATCAGAGGGATAGGGTGCAAGAGGCAGGATATAAGGGGCCGGTAGAAGCCTGAAGGTCAGCTGTACCTTGGGCCAAAGCATCCTGTAGGGATCCCATGTAGGCAGGCATTCAACTAACTGTAGGGTTTGTGGGTAACAACCAAGGGGCTAGAACACAGTCAGATATGACCATTTCCTCTCACTTGGCCACAGGCTTCAGCGGGCACCTGTGCCAGTATGACGTGGATGAGTGTGCAAGCACACCTTGCAAGAATGGTGCCAAGTGTCTGGATGGGCCCAACACCTACACCTGCGTGTGCACAGAAGGTACAAGAGGAGTAAGGGACCTAGGGAAGGGGACAGGAGACTGGGGAGGCCTTAGTCTGGAGTCATCTAATCTGGGGATCAGGAACTTAGCTCCGCTTTGACTCCAGGGAGGAGTAATGAGAATATCTCAGGGTATATGACACCTCCACATCCATCAGTGACCTTGTAGTGACCCTGGGCCTGCTCAGTGGTTTCCCAATGTGTGGCCAGCTGAGTGTTGAGGTAATAACTGTCCCTGAAGCTCAACTATTCCCATCCTTCTTGTGATCCAGGTTACACAGGGACCCACTGCGAGGTAGACATCGATGAATGTGACCCTGACCCCTGTCACTATGGTTTCTGCAAGGATGGTGTGGCCACCTTTACCTGCCTCTGCCAGCCAGGCTACACAGGCCATCACTGTGAGACCAACATTAATGAGTGCCACAGCCAGCCATGCCGCCATGGGGGCACCTGCCAGGACCGTGACAACTCCTACCTCTGCTTATGCCTCAAGGGAACCACAGGTGACTGGCCAGAACTGGCAATGGGTAGAAAAGGCAAAGCTAGTCTTGAAAGCTGACCGAATGTCACTCTGACCCTAGGACCCAACTGTGAGATCAACTTGGATGACTGTGCCAGCAACCCCTGTGACTCAGGCACATGTCTGGACAAGATTGATGGCTACGAGTGTGCCTGTGAGCCAGGCTACACAGGTGAATGACAAAAGTCAGAGGTCAAGGTTAACCTTAGAGTTGTTAGATGAGTCAGATTTGGGAGGGACTCTGGGGTCAGCAGGGGTTCAAGGGCTGAATAACACAAGCTGGGTTGCCACTTTCTAGCTCTTGGGCTGCCAACCAGTGGAGTTGTTAGAAAGAGTGGATGGCCTCCACATGCCTTCTGTCCCTTGTGAGTGTCAGCCCTGGCCACATGAGATCTGATGACCCAGTAAACTGGCCTGACCTCTGAGGCCAGGCTTTTGGGCATGTGTTCTGCCTCTGACAACCTTAGTTCTGATTGGATCCTTAGCTTCTCTGGGCCCCAGGGGTCTTGCCAACCAGAGGGACCCTGGGAGGACAGCAGAAGAGAATGGGTCTCAAGACTATAGTAACACTGGATTGAAGAATGACCCAGTTGGTAAGGTGTTGGCCTAGCGTGCATGAAGCCCTGGTTTAGTCTTACACCACATAAACCAGATGCAATGGCATATGTTTGTAACGCCAGCACTTTGACCTTCAAAGCAAGGGGATCAGAAGTTCAGGTCATTCTCAGCTTCTTAGTGAGTTTGAGGCCAGACTGGAATACAGGAGACCCATTGCTACATAAAGAAGTTTACCATAGCTCAGAATTTCACAGAATTGCATGGGGAAACTGAGGCCCAGAAAGGTCCAGCTCCAGGAGGGGTGGGCTCTGGGTGGCAGGCCTGGTGTCTGAATCCCTCCCCACCCACAGGCAGCATGTGTAACGTCAACATTGATGAGTGTGCAGGCAGCCCCTGCCACAATGGGGGTACCTGTGAGGATGGCATCGCTGGCTTCACCTGCCGCTGCCCTGAGGGCTACCACGACCCCACGTGCCTGTCTGAGGTTAACGAGTGCAACAGTAACCCCTGCATCCACGGGGCTTGCCGGGATGGCCTCAATGGGTATGTCAGGCTGGCCTGGGAGGTACCAGATAGAAGCCTGGGGCAGATACAGGCTGGGTGGATGTGTGCTCCTGTGAGACCAGTGGTCCTGAGGTCAGCCCCCAGCATCCCCAGGCTGTGTCCTCATTAGTCAGCATCAGCTCAAGATACAGACCTTAAGTACAGTACCCTAAAAACACTGTGGTAACTGAAGCAGTCTTCTGATACTTGTGATAAGGACAGACAGAAACTCTTTGACAGGTGTGTGTGTGGGGGGGGGCAGGCACAGGACATGGACAAACAGACTATTAAAGTCTTTTATTTAAGCTATTAAAGTTTTACACGGAAGGTCAGTAAATTATCAAGTTCACATTGTTCCAATCTGGAACCCTTGCACTGTTTTGGGCAAGGTGGGTACCTCCAGTTCACCTTAAAAGAGTGTCCCAGTAGATGATGTGTCTGTCAGGAGGGCTCTGAGCCCAGACTGCAACACACAATCCTCTGTGTAGGTACAAGTGTGACTGTGCCCCTGGATGGAGTGGAACAAACTGTGACATCAACAACAATGAGTGTGAGTCAAACCCTTGTGTCAATGGTGGCACCTGCAAAGACATGACCAGTGGCTACGTGTGTACCTGCCGAGAAGGCTTCAGTGGTAAGTGTGATAGGTGACATGGCAGAATGGGCCCTCCCTGGTGACCTGGAGCTGGCAGTACAACCCACAACATCCCCTTGGTCCATCTGACATACAGGAGCTGCTGGTGTCCCTCAGGCTGGGCCTCTGGCTCTCCAGAGTAAATGCCCAGGGGAGAGGTGCAGGCCTGACCACTCTTGCTCCTCTTCTTCCTGGGCCTCTGGCTCTCCAGAGTAAATGCCCAGGGGAGAGGTGCAGGCCTAACCACTCTTGCGACTCTTCTTTCAGGCCCTAACTGCCAGACCAACATCAACGAGTGTGCCTCCAACCCCTGCCTGAACCAGGGGACCTGTATTGATGATGTCGCTGGGTACAAGTGCAACTGTCCTCTGCCCTACACAGGTACAAGCAGCCAAGGGGTGCTTGGGCTCTGGTGGTAGCTAGTGAGGCTGAAAGAATATGGGACCACCAGGCATTTTAGAAGGTTCTGCTCCTTGCTGAGAGCCTTAGGTTCTGCAGCACTTGAGCCTGGACCTGGGGATAGAGTCACCGGATGAGCAAACATAGATGATGCCTGAGAGGAAACTCGGGGGTGTGTGTCCGGGTGTTTATCTGGCAAGCTTGGAGTGAGATGAGCACTGGACTCCTCCAGGGAAGCCCAGGGGGCTGGTGGACAGTACATGGATCAGTGTTCACTTCGCCTGTGCCTCTGAGGGGCCTGGCTGCCCTCCTCTGCCGTCTGAGATTCCTTTGATGGCAGCTTCTTTGTGTGAGGAGACAAGGAGCCCTCTGTTCGGATGAACAGAAGCAGCTCCTGCCATGGGCACTGCCTGAGGAATGGCGAGAAGTGGACCCCTGCAGGAGAGATGAGCAAAGCATTGAACATGAAAGCCATGGCCACATTGCCCCCCAAACCCTGCAGTTCCCAATACTGCCACTGGATACTGTGGCTTCGTGCTGCTACTGCTGCTGGGCTCTGGACATCCCAACTGGGTCTGTGAAGATAGAGGGTCCCTGCTACTGTTTTATGATGACTGGCAGCTGGTGACCAGGATGCTGGTTTTTTTTTTTTTTTTTTTTTTTTTTGACAAAAGTTAAAGGGCCTGGATTTTGTCTCCTGTGTTGGTCAGTGAGGAAGCTGTCAGCAGTTGGGCACACCCCATGTCCCTCTAGGTCTTGTTGCTATCAGGCCTGGCGGGAGGAGTCAAGCCATGCTGACCTGCTTCCTGCTGGCTTGCTTCCTGCTTCCCTTTGCACAATTGTCGGAAACTCTGTCAAAGTTCCTGTCTGCCCAGGTCACCGTGGAAACCGATAGAGTTAGGGGGGCCCTGGAGACTTACACCAGCAGGCTGGGGACATGGTGGGAGACAAGGAAGATAAGGCTTCCTTGCTCAGCTCTGGAGCCAGCTATAGCCATAAACAGGAAAGCTAGCCCGGATTACAAGGAGAGTGGGTGCACATGGCTCCCCCAGGCGGTTATCAGATTCACTTCCTAGTGTGAGTCTTCCCCCATGCACTCCCTAGAGCCTCAGGATCATCTGCAGGCAGGGCTTTTCCTGGAATGGGGAGCAGGCCATGGTTCACCAGGCAAAACGACCTGTTAACAGTATGTTAACAGTATGTTTTGAGGTTTTTCTGGTTGGGCAAGGACCAGGCTTCATCTTGCAGTGTTTGGGAGATGAAATGGCTTCAGGTGCTAAGTGGATGGCTCATGAAAGAAGAGTATTTGCTATGGAAACATGAGATCTGTTACATGAAAACAGGGCACTACTAAATGCCCGTTACCCCAACATTTGGAAGCAGAGACCGATGTATCCTAAGAGCTTACTGGCTGGCCAACCTAGCTGAAATGACAATCTTCCAGTTCAATGAGACTCTGTCTCAAAGAAATAAAGTGCAGAGTTGATAGAAGACACCTGACATACACACTCATGTGCACTTACACACCCACATGCACATACCATACACTTAAAAAAAAAAAAGTGGCTTCAGAGAGAGACTTGTTTCTGCTTTGTCTCTAACTTCCTGTCTGTGATTATTACTCCTCCCAGGATCACAGTCTGTCTGGCCAATCATACAGGGCCCCCATGCTTTTTCCCCCCTCTCTATGGGAGATGCTATGGGTCATACCCACTGGGTTCTACTACGTATCTTTCTCCTTAGGAGCCACGTGTGAGGTGGTGTTGGCCCCATGTGCCACCAGCCCCTGCAAAAACAGTGGTGTGTGCAAGGAGTCTGAGGACTACGAGAGCTTTTCCTGTGTCTGTCCCACAGGCTGGCAGGGTGAGGCTTGCCTAGTCCCACCAGACTGGGACAGGGATGGTGGGTGGGAAGTCAAGGGACCCCAGTCACCTCCAGGGCAGGAGGGAGTAGGCTCCAGTCTCCAGAGATGAGCCCATAGGTGCTGAGTCACCTGCTCTGAGAAGTTCTAAAAGCAGAAGATAAACTTGAATGGCCCTTCCCATCTTGACTTTGTAGCCTTCTGTTCCCCAGAGATTCAGGGCAGAGGTCAGAGGACAGCAGCAGGGTAACCAATTGAATCTTGTCCTCACAGGTCAAACCTGCGAGATTGACATCAATGAGTGTGTGAAGAGCCCCTGTCGCCATGGTGCTTCCTGCCAGAACACCAATGGCAGCTACCGCTGCCTCTGCCAGGCTGGCTACACAGGTCGCAACTGTGAGAGTGACATCGATGACTGCCGGCCCAGTAAGTGGTACCCAGCTCTGCCCACCCAAGTTTTTGGTGTCTGCCCCTTAGGCACACATGACAGGGGTTTGCTGAATCTGAGGTGGGAAAATAGTCCCAGCGATCAGCAACAGTCAGTGATGTCAGCTGCAGGGCTGTGAATAGCTACATCCTCAGCTTCGTCCACCTGCCTTGCCTAGAACGAAACAGGTCAGATGCTAGAGACAGGCCAGGAGGTGGCTGTTGAGCGCCACTGTGTACTTCACATGGGCTGACCAGAATGGCTCCAAAAGGCTTTGTAGATAGATTGCCCAACCCAGTTGAATGACATGGAACAGAGGCACCAGGCACTTCATGATGATGGCATGGGGCCTGGCTATACTCAACCTTGACACTTGGCCATTGTCAGGACCCACTGGGGCTGCCCTCATCCTCTAAGATTTAGAGAGATTGAGGGTCTACCTGGCACCATCAGGGTGTGTATAGGAGGATGGATTTCCCCGTGACTTGTCTGTAAAGCTGGCTGAATTTCTGTCTCCCCACTGCCTTGGGGCCAAGGGAAGGAATGTGTGTGGAGCAGAGCCCAGGCTCAGAGCTGGGATCAGCCTGGAGTGAGTGGCCCCATTGACTCTAGTGTCACCAAAGGCATGGTGTGAGCCCTGGCTACCCTAAGGCTTATCCATCTGTCCCTTCAGATCCATGTCACAATGGGGGCTCCTGCACTGATGGCATCAACATGGCCTTCTGCGACTGCTTGCCCGGCTTCCAGGGTGCCTTCTGTGAGGAGGACATCAACGAATGTGCCAGTAATCCCTGCAGAAATGGTGCCAACTGCACCGATTGTGTGGACAGCTACACATGCACCTGCCCTGCAGGCTTCAATGGCATCCACTGCGAAAATAACACACCTGACTGTACCGAGAGGTGAGTCCCAGCCTCAGCTGAGGTGAGGCAGGGAAAGGGATGGATGGTGGAGGGCACACAGTGACTAACAGCATGGCACCTTCAGCAAATGTCTTGCTCAGACCCAGTGGACATTCAGCACTTACTGAGTTGAATCCAGCATTGTTCATTTTACTGCAGTGTCCCTCCTAAAAGGGCCATTGTGACCTCCAGTGACTTAGAACAAGGAAGTTTATCCAGAGGAATTGGTGAACTAGCCAGCCTCCTACTAAACAGGAGCTTTGTAATCCATCTTATTTCCCCTTTGCCCTGATTGCCAGGAAGCTTAATGTTAAATGTCAATCTCATGCTTGGTTTGTGATGTATTTCCTATAGTATTCTGATTTTGCCCTTGATTTTTTTTGTTTGTTTTTTAACCATCATGCACCTGTATGCTGTAAAATCTCTAATCATAATGTGACTGTCACAGCCAGGCTGGCATAGAGTGGCCTTCTCCAGGCAAGGACTTTAGTACACTCACTCTCCTCTGCTTCCTGTCTACCTCCAGCTCCTGCTTCAATGGTGGCACCTGTGTGGATGGTATCAACTCCTTCACCTGTCTGTGTCCACCTGGCTTCACGGGCAGCTACTGCCAGTATGATGTCAATGAGTGCGACTCACGGCCCTGTCTGCATGGTGGCACCTGCCAAGACAGCTATGGCACCTATAAGTGTACCTGCCCACAGGGTTACACTGGCCTCAACTGCCAGGTGAGCTGAGGTTGCAGGGTGTGACCCAGAAGGCCTAGGACTCTCCACTGCCCAGTGCCCAGCGCTAGGCTATTCTAGCTTCAGAGGGCCAGGGACAAACAGAAGCAGAGAGGGCTCCCAGGTGTCATCATGTGTTTATGGGGCGGGTGTGACCCAGAAGGCCTAGGACTCTCCACTGCCCAGTGCCCAGCGCTAGGCTATTCTAGCTTTAGAGGGCCAGGGACAAACAGAAGCAGAGAGGGCTCTCAGGTGTCATCATGTGTTTATGGGGTCAGAGTGGACTCATCCTCTGGGAAAATGCCAAAATGGGTGTTTCTAAGGGAGAAAGGGGGGTGAGGATGCCAGGCTCTTGCTTCTGTGGAGTACATATGTGGTCATTTATCCAAAGCACCCTGGGGGCAGTGATCACTTTTGTTGGAGGGTGTCCAAGGGAGGGCAGTAGATGGCCTAGGTTTGCAGAGGGCCTTGAAGGAGAGCAAAGGAGACATGGGACCCTGTCCCAGGCTGCTCCCAGCACAGGGGGTGTCTGTGAGCTCTGTGCCTGGGAGTTCTTAAGTGACATTCTTTCTGAACTGATGAGGGAGTAAGTGAGGGAAGGAGAGAATGTCTTACTCCAGTTGTTCTCACCTGTGGATCACGACCTCCACAGGGGTCACATATTAGATATCCTGCATATCAGATGTTTACATTACAGCTCATAACAGTAGCAGAATTATAGTTATGAAACAGCAGTGAAATGATTTTATGGTTGGGGCTCACCACAGCATCAGGAACTAATGGCTGTGAACTGAAAGGTCACAGCATTAGGAAGGTTGAGAACCACTGCACTACTCAGTGCAGGGCCAGGCCAGGAGAGTGTCCCTGGCAGTCAGGCTTGGTAGGGAAGAAGCTGACCACTGCCTGTCTCCTCAGAACCTTGTGCACTGGTGCGACTCAGCTCCCTGCAAGAATGGTGGCAAGTGCTGGCAGACCAACACGCAGTACCACTGTGAATGCCGTAGCGGCTGGACTGGCTTCAATTGTGATGTGCTCAGTGTGTCCTGCGAGGTGGCTGCACAGAAACGAGGTAACTGGTCCAGCCCATCTGTCCTTGCCCTGGCTCAACCCAGGTGAGGCCTACCAGGTCACAGGAGGACATGGACAGTAGTCCTGGAAGTTGCAGCCCAGGCCTCAGCTCCTTCTCATCTTGTCCCCACAGGCATCGATGTCACCCTCCTGTGCCAGCATGGAGGCCTCTGTGTGGATGAGGAAGACAAGCATTACTGCCATTGCCAGGCAGGCTACACGGGCAGCTACTGTGAGGATGAGGTGGATGAGTGCTCACCTAACCCATGCCAGAACGGAGCCACCTGCACTGACTACCTGGGTGGTTTTTCCTGCAAGGTGTGGACCGTCCTGGGGTTGAGGGGAGGGTATGGGTGTGAGTGTTGCTACAGGAGGGCTGTTGAGCTGGGAGCTGGTGTATCATGGCAGACTGAGCCCAGTGTCTTGTTAGAGCAAGGTGTCATACACCTACAGGATCCATTCACATTACAGATGTGCTGGAGGAGGAACATGACAAGCAGTGGCTTGGGTACTCTTTTTCTAGATAGTTTTATGCTACCTAACATGTGCTACAAGACCTCACCCCTGTGGGACCAGGTGTTGTCCCTCCCCATTTTGGACAGTGACTTTAATTTACTGAGATCCTACCTGGGTTCTTCTGGGTGAAGCCCCTCCTCAGGGCTGCCAGTGTAAGCCTAACTAGGTGTGTGAGCCTGCATCATAGGTGGGGGACATGATACTATCACTCCAGCTGAGCTGTGGTCTGTGTCATTTCTACAGTGTGTCGCTGGCTATCATGGATCTAACTGTTCTGAGGAGATCAATGAGTGCCTCTCCCAGCCCTGTCAAAATGGGGGTACCTGCATTGATCTGACCAACACTTACAAGTGCTCCTGCCCCAGGGGCACACAGGGTAAGAGTGGGGGCCTGGGTGGTGTGGCTAGGATCCAGCCAGAGCTCACTCCATCTTGCCTTGTGGGGCCAATCTTAGTAGGAAGATGGGCTCTGCTGGCACTGTGCCACCTCCCCTGGGTCTCTCCTAACTGATTGCTGTGCTGGACCACACAGGACAGAAAACAGCCAGTACTGTCCTCTGACAGTGTCCATGGTCATTCTGCAGGTGTACACTGTGAGATCAACGTTGATGACTGCCATCCCCACCTTGACCCTGCCTCCCGAAGCCCCAAGTGCTTCAACAATGGCACCTGTGTGGACCAGGTGGGTGGCTATAGCTGCACCTGCCCACCAGGCTTCGTCGGAGAACGTTGTGAGGGTGACATCAATGAGTGTCTCTCCAACCCCTGTGACCCACGAGGCACCCAAGACTGCGTGCAGCGTGTTAATGACTTCCACTGCGAGTGCCGGGCTGGCCACACTGGTGCGTGCCTTGGGCAGGTGGGCAGGCGCCTTGGGTGGACAGGCAGTGGTGGCAGGGCTAGCTCCTTACTGTCTTCTCATCCAGGACGCCGCTGCGAGTCAGTCATCAACGGCTGCAGGGGCAAACCATGCAAGAATGGGGGTGTCTGTGCTGTGGCTTCCAACACTGCCCGCGGATTCATCTGCAGGTGCCCTGCGGTAGGTGCCCCTGGCCCTGTGCAGCTGCTAGGGTCCAGGTCTAAGGGTGCCAGAACCCCTGAATTTTACATTGGGTGAACATGTCCCACACCCAGGGTAGATTAGCCTGAAGGCTTCTAGCCAAGGCTCTAGGGTCCAGGTCTAAGGGTGCCAGAACCCCTGAATTTTACATTGGGTGGACATGTCCCACGCCCAGGGTAGATTAGCCTGAAGGCTTCTAGCCAAGGCTAGGGATCAAGCCCCATGCTTCCTCATGCCCACTCTCCCAGTTCATTCTTAAAATTTGAGTGGGCATAATACATACATACCTGTAATTCTAGTACTCTGGGGGCTGAGGCTAAAAGATTGTCCTGCATTTAAGGCTACGTTAGGCTACAGGGCAAGTCCGTGTTTAAAAAAAGTTTATTTCCTGCTATGTTGTATTGGAAACCTAGGTCCTCACACATGCTGGGCAAATGTTCTGCCCCTGAGTCCCAGCCCAGCCTCTTGTTTTTAAATAAATGTTCATCTTGAGGCAGTTTTAGGTTTGCATGAGAACTTATCAGGAGGGCCAAGTCCCCACCCTGCCTGCCATTTCCTATGGTTACCACCTTGCATGGAAGGTGTTGAGGATCACACTTATAGCTGGCACTGAGGTACAGTATTTGCTCTGGTGTTAACACTCAGAAATTCATACACATATAATGTACCAGTGTCAGCCTGGTTTTTCATGGTTCTAAAATCTAGGATTCTGCCCTCTTAGCTATCCCTCCATTTCAAAGCCTGTGGTAATCCTGACCTTTCTATGGTGAGGATGTTAAAGGGTCTTATTACTTCGGAAAGGCCATAGACACCTTTCATAGGTCATGAGATGTGGCCAGGCCTAGGATGGGGTGCATGGTGTTCCTGAACTCTAGCACCTTGCTCTAATGCACCATCCTCTCTCCACCACCACAGGGCTTTGAAGGTGCCACGTGTGAGAATGATGCCCGCACTTGTGGCAGCTTGCGCTGCCTCAATGGTGGCACATGTATCTCAGGCCCACGAAGTCCCACCTGCCTATGCTTGGGCTCCTTTACTGGCCCTGAGTGCCAGTTCCCAGCCAGCAGCCCCTGTGTGGGTAGTAACCCTTGCTACAATCAGGGCACCTGTGAGCCCACATCCGAGAGCCCTTTCTACCGCTGTCTGTGCCCTGCCAAATTCAACGGGCTGCTGTGCCACATCCTGGACTACAGCTTCACAGGTGGTGCTGGGCGCGACATTCCCCCGCCACAGATTGAGGAGGCCTGCGAGCTGCCTGAGTGCCAGGAAGATGCAGGCAACAAGGTCTGCAACCTGCAGTGCAATAATCACGCATGTGGCTGGGATGGTGGTGACTGCTCCCTCAACTTCAATGACCCTTGGAAGAACTGCACGCAGTCCTTACAGTGCTGGAAGTATTTTAGTGATGGCCACTGTGACAGCCAGTGCAACTCAGCCAGCTGCCTTTTTGATGGCTTCGACTGCCAGCGCACCGAGGGACAGTGCAAGTAAGTAAGGCTCGGTGGCTTCAGAGTCCCAGGGCTCAGCAGACAGCTGCGGGGGGAAGAACCAAACAAATACCAGGAACATGAGGCCAATGTCTATCCCTCCCCATAGGGGACACCAAGCACATTTCCTAGGTCTGGGCCAGTCAGGGTGGGTGTGAGGCCCACAAGGCTGGGATGTGACTGAGTGTGTCCTGTACCCCTCAGCCCTCTGTATGACCAGTATTGCAAGGACCACTTCAGTGACGGCCATTGTGACCAGGGCTGCAACAGTGCCGAGTGCGATTGGGATGGGCTAGACTGTGCAGACCATGTGCCTGAGCGACTGGCAGCTGGCACATTGGTGCTGGTGGTGCTGCTCCCACCTGAGCAGCTACGCAACAACTCCTTCCACTTCCTGCGGGAGCTCAGCCACGTGCTGCACACCAATGTGGTCTTCAAGCGTGATGCAGAAGGCCAGCAGATGATCTTCCCCTACTACGGCCATGAGGAAGAGCTGCGCAAGCACCCCATCAAGCGCTCTGCAGTGGGTTGGACCACCTCTTCACTGCTTCCCAGCACCAATGGGGGGCGCCAGCGCAGGGAGCTGGACCCCATGGACATCAGAGGGTGAGTGAGCTCCATCCAGATCCAGCTTCTGTGGGCTGTTTCCTAGTGCATTCCTGGGCCCTGTTACCAGCTCAACCCTGGAGGTGAACTCTGGGGAGGTATTATTCACCCTACTTTATGGTCAAAAAGGACCTGGAATGTGGAGGCCACCTCTCTCTAGGTACCTGGCAGGGTTCACTCTTTGCCCAGCTTGTGGTTTTGAGGCTCCACTATGTATTAGGTGTTTAATCAGGACCAAGCTGGTTAAAGCCTCCAGGGTGGTCCCTGGAGCTAAATCATCCTAGACCAAGCCGGCACCTCAGTCTCTATAGCCTCCTTATCCACACTGCAGAGGAGGCGGGTGGGGAAATGCAGAAAGGCACTGTTGCTGAGCCTTGAAGGCTGAGGAGCTGAGGGTGGCAATGAGGAGGCACAAATAAGGGCATCTCATGGATGCTGCACAGAGCCACCTGGGAACAGGCAGAGAAGCACCAGCCAGGACTGATGTGGTCCTTGCAATACTGGTCACCCCCATACCCTGAATTTGTGGGTTCCAGGAGCCTGCCACCTATTCCTCTTTGAGATGCTGGGCATCTGCCTGGTGGCTCCTTGGTGTCTCTTGACCCCAGCAGTTTCTAGTCCTGGTTTCCTTGGTATGGAACCGCAGTAAAAGTTAGAAATGTGTTGTTCCCTGGAAGCTGTATTAGAATCCTGTGTCTGAGAGGCCATGACTGAGAGTGGGTGACTCGGCTGCCATGAGAGTCTCAGCTCTCTAGCATCTGAGCCTGCTGTTGTCTCCGGCCACTCCTAGGGGAGTTCTGAGGAATAACCCACAACCCGTCCCTGCACTTCTGTGGGGCACCAGGTTACTGCTCTCAAGAGTGCACTGAGTGCCTGAGGACATTCTCTTCTCTGAGGTGAAGAAAGGGGTGCTGTGGTACCTAAGGGGCAAGGCTGAAAAACATGTTGGGCAGTAGGAAGAACCCCTGCTGAGTGCTAAACACTGAGGCTGCAGGGAGACTTGTCCAGTTGCTGGGCTGTTGTTGTCAGATATGCTCTCTGGGTCAGGGTGATAGGATAGGGAGTCAGAGCTGGTGTACAGGCAGCATGCTACGCTGTATCTGATTTCAGTGTGATGTGTGTGTTCCCAGCTCCATTGTCTACCTGGAGATTGACAACCGGCAATGTGTACAGTCATCCTCACAGTGCTTCCAGAGTGCCACCGATGTGGCTGCCTTTCTGGGCGCTCTTGCTTCTCTTGGCAACCTCAATATCCCCTACAAGATCGAGGCTGTAAAGAGTAAGTGGTCATGGTTGGAAAGATGGATCAGTAGTTAAAAACACTGGCTGCTGTCACAGAGGTCTGGGGTTCAAATCTCAGAACTCACACGGTGTCTTATAACTATCTGTAACTCCAGTCTGACATCTTCTGACTCTGCAGGCACCAGGCATGCATAGGGTTCACAGACATACATGCAGGCAAAACACCCATACACATTAAAAAAAAAAAATTAATTGAGTGCCCTACTCCTCAGCCCTGCTTCTTCAGGAATGGAGATAGTCTGTCTGGGAGGAGCACAGGCAGGCGGTCTCTCACTTCTTATGCCAGCTGCCATTCAGAGCTCAGGAAGTGCTTTTCTGGAATTTTCTCGATGGCCTTCCGTCCCTGTGGATGGTGACAGCCATAGGTAAAGCTTAGATGTATACATATACCAGAAAGTCTGGGGGAGCTTTTTTCTCTCCCCATTCTTTATCCCTGATTTTTCTTTGTTGGGTATTATTTCAAAATCATTACAGGGTTGTTTTTTTTATTTTGCTTTTTTTTAAGAGAGAGAGAGAAGAATTGATCGGTGTCATGTGAAGTGTTGAAGTTTGTATCTTGAAAATCCCCCTAAATCCTTTGTCTTAACAGCTCAATGCGAGCGCAGCGATTTGAAGTTCGCTAATCCTCCTCCTCGAAAGGGGAGAAGTGAGCACTGTCTCCAGACAGATCGGCTGGTGCAGGAGAGAATTTAGCGATAGTTTGCAATTCTGATTAATCACGTAGAAAATGACCTTATTTTGGGGGGGGGGGGGGGGGGGGGGGGGGGGGGGGGGGGGGGGGGGCGGGGGGGGGGGCCCCCCCCCCCCCCCCCCCCGCCGGCCCACAGCATTACCACGCCTGACGTGGGGTGCTTGCCTGCCGCCCCTGCCCGCAGGTGAGACGGTTGAGCCTCCGCTGCCCTCGCAGCTGCACCTCATGTACCTGGCAGCCGCTGCCTTCGTGCTCCTGTTCTTTGTGGGCTGTGGGGTGCTGCTGTCCCGCAAGCGCCGGCGGCAGCATGGCCAGCTGTGGTTCCCTGAGGGCTTCAAAGTGTCAGAGGCCAGCAAGAAGAAACGGAGAGAGCCCCTCGGCGAGGACTCTGTCGGCCTCAAGTGAGTGGATACTGCTCCCACTGTGTGTCGGGGCAGTGAGTGGCAGGGTGGGTGGCGGGCGCTTCGCTCCTGTAAGCCCATGGGCCCATCCCTTCCTGTCCTCACTCTGAGCCCATCTGCGTGTAGAGGGCGCCCATATGATCTATGGCTACAGGGCATTTCCTGGAGCAGCCGCTTAGTTTCCCCACCCCTCACTCAGGCCCCTGAAGAATGCCTCAGATGGTGCCCTGATGGACGACAATCAGAACGAGTGGGGGGATGAAGACTTGGAGACCAAGAAGTTCCGGGTAAGTCCAGCAGGCTCCCAGGCTTCCCTGGGTGACACTTCCCACCTGGGCCACAAATGATGAGGCTCTGCTTATTCTGTCCAAATTCAGTTTGAGGAGCCAGTTGTTGTTCCTGACCTGGATGATCAGACGGACCATCGGCAGTGGACCCAACAGCACCTGGATGCTGCTGACCTGCGCATGTCTGCCATGGCCCCAACACCGCCTCAGGGTGAGGTGGATGCTGACTGCATGGATGTCAATGTCCGAGGACCTGGTAAGACCACTGGACATACACACACACACACACACACACACACACACACACTTACCTAGCATAGACTTAGAGGCCAGTAGGACTTGAGAAGGGTTGGGTCACTGAATGACTCTGCCTAGCAGCACCAGCTAAACTCCAGTGTCCTGCTGCCTCCACAGTATACTTTTTCATGAAATGCTGCTTTGCAATACATTCAAGTGTTGATTTTTTTTTTCCTTTTGTTTTTTGAGTCAGGGTCTTACTCTGTAGGCCAGGCTAACCCCAAATATGATTCTTCTGTCTCAGCTTCCAGTGTGCTGGGATTATAGGTGAGACCACCATGACTTTGAAAATTATATGCATATATGTATATATAATATATATGTACATATATATATTATATATATATATATGTTATGCATGGTTCTGCCTACACATATGTGTGTGTACCATGTGCATGCCTAGTGCCTATGGAAGCCAGAAGAGGCCACTGGATCCTCTGGAATAGAGTTGCAGATTGTTGTGAGCAGCTATATGGGTGCTGGGATTGAACACAGGTTCTCTGGAAAAGCAGTCAGTGCTCTAACTATTGAGCTATCTCTCTAGCACTCATTTTATTTTATTTTTAAGCATTTATTTATTTGAGTGCCGTAGTGCACACGTGGAGGTCAGAAAGACAACTTGCTTGAGTTGGTTCTCTCTTTCCACCATGTGGGTCCCAGGGATCAAACTCAGGCTGGCAGGCTTGGTAGCAAAAACCTTTACCCACTGAACCATCTCAATTGCCCAATGGTGACTTTTTAAGTTCATTTTTCTTGTCTTTTTTCCTGAATGGGTCCTCAATGAAGGGTATCCTGGGCAGGAAGTAAAACTTGGAGGGCTCTGCATCACCCCATCTCTTCAGGTTGGTAGCTACACTAGGCCAACTCAGGGTAACTTCAACGGACCCCTAGGTGCTCAGAGGTGTGTCTGTCCACACAGCTGTCTATAATGAGAACCGATCCGTAGTCTGTATGGTTAAGATATCTTTATTCAGATAAACACCAGCCAAACACAAGCCAGAGCGTGCCAGGGACAGCAAAGCAGTGAGGCCAGAGAGAAGGGGCCTCCCATGTGCTCGCAGCCCCTTAAGAGCCTATCCGGCATCATCCTGACCTCGCCTTGACCATGCCTTAACAGGCGTGGTCAGGCACACCTGTAGCCAGCTTCTAACAGGTGTGGCTTACTGTCCCCTACAGCTGTCCCTTGACCTGAAGGCTTTGGCAGGGCTGCCATTGGCCGTGGCTGGGTACTGACCCTCCCCAAGGCTGATACCGCCCCTTCCATGCTCACTTCTGTCTCTCCTCTCTGCAGATGGCTTCACACCACTCATGATCGCCTCCTGCAGTGGAGGGGGCCTTGAGACAGGCAATAGTGAAGAAGAAGAAGATGCACCTGCTGTCATCTCCGACTTCATCTACCAGGGTGCCAGCTTGCACAACCAGACAGACCGCACAGGGGAGACTGCCCTCCACCTGGCTGCCAGATACTCTCGTTCAGATGCTGCCAAGCGCTTGCTGGAGGCTAGTGCAGATGCCAACATCCAGGACAACATGGGGCGCACCCCATTGCATGCAGCTGTTTCTGCAGATGCGCAGGGTGTCTTCCAGGTAGGCAGCACTGCATCCTTGGGGCCAGTTACCTGATCTGGGGCAGTGGTCTGGCTGGCATGGGCCCTACAAGCCCTAATTCCAAGCGTGACTGTGCAGGAACAGCTGGCACCTGTACTGGAACTGCACAGTGAAGGAAGTCTAGGTTACAAAGGGTATCAAGTCCCGCCCCACCTGTGTTCTCTGGGCAAGCTGGCTGAAGGTGGTTCTAAGGAACCTACAGGGTGAGGCAGGGCTTCCCTACCCTCAGTAAGACCCTCCAGTCTAAAGGCTATGGCCTGACTTGAGGCCCCCAGGCCAGTGCTATAGCTTTTGCAACCTAGTCCCACCCCATTCATCTGTGGCTGTAGGCATAGCCCATGGCGGCAGGAAGAGAGCTTTAGAGGCTGCTGGTCCTGGCCTTTGCCTGGAAGCCTAAAGCCAGCCAGGATGGATTTAGAGATTTAGCTGCCTGGGTCTCCAGGGACCACCCCTAGTAGCTGCTCCTTCATGCTGCCAGCCATTGACCCTAGGTACCATATCCCATCCTCTAGGCCGCCCTGGAGCAGGGTTCAAATGGGGCATAGACCAGGCGTCAAAAAGCTTGCCATTTAATCATTTCTTTAAAAAAAAGTTTATTATTTTTGTTTTATGTGCATTGGTGTTTTGCTTGTGTATATGTCTGTGTGAGCAGACAAGATCCCCTTGAACTGGAGTTACAGACAGCTGTGAGCTGCTGTGTAGTTGCTGGGAAATGAACCAGGGTCCTCTGGAAGAGTATCCAGTGCTCCTAACCACTGGATGCTCCAGTCCCCATTTAATCATTTCTTACTCAAGCAACATATTGTCAGTCTGCAGAAAAAATTAAACCAGACATGACAGTGCACACCTGTTATCCCGGCACACTAGAATCTGAGAGGATTGTAAGCACGAGGCTAGCCTGGTCTTTATGGAAAGACCCTGTTTCAAAATAGCAAAGAGAGGCTGTGATCAGCCTCAGGATAAGATGAGCCTGGGGTAGGTACACATGGCCTGCTTTGCTTGCACAGACAGATCTGTGTCTGCCCTGCAGGAATCTAGGCAGAGCTGAGTCCCTACTCAGGTCACCTTCCCACTCCTCCCACTTGGGACTCAAGCAAGGTAGCTTAGCAGTTCCACGTATGACTGTAGGCTGTGAACGGGATTCTCATCCTGGTTCCCCTCCCGTCCCTTCTGTCCCCCATGCATGGTAGAAGCTTGACTCCTTTAACCTAGAAGTGTTTCTGGTAGCCATGACCATAAGGTGAGGCCACATGTGGTCACAGTGGGTTGTCAGCATCTCCAGGGGTTGGGGTAGGAACTCTAGCCCCTCCTGCACATTGAATGTAGCTCCATGGCATCCCATTTCACAGGGGTTCATCTGAGTCATGGGAACAGCTGGGCCTAATCCAGGCATTGGTTCCTGGAGATACCAGCTTGTGTTTGGATCACTCTGACTGAATCCCTCCCTGCCTTCCAGATCCTGCTCCGGAACCGAGCCACAGATCTGGATGCCCGCATGCATGATGGCACAACCCCACTGATCCTGGCTGCACGCCTGGCCGTGGAGGGCATGCTGGAGGACCTCATCAACTCGCATGCAGACGTCAATGCTGTGGATGACCTAGGTAGGCCTAGGCTACAGCCCAGCTTCTGAGAACATCAACCACTACGTGATCTGTCTGGCCCTCACCTACTCTCCTCTCCTCGCTTCCTTTCCAGGCAAGTCGGCCTTGCACTGGGCAGCGGCAGTGAACAATGTGGATGCTGCAGTTGTACTCCTGAAGAACGGAGCCAACAAAGACATGCAGAACAACAAGGTAAGCAAAAGGACTGCCTTAACCATAGGGGCATGATAGGGACCACTTAGAGTATTAGAGTGTCTTGGACACAGCTAATTCTTCTGACACCTCCCAAGTGTGGGGGCTGGGAGCTGGGACAACAGCAGATAAAGTAGCCCACCTTTGCAGAGGAGATGGGATGAGGTGGCAACTGATGTCCTATGTCACTGTTACTTGAACCTTGCTCTCTGTTCCCCTCTGTCCTTGAGGGATATGATGACCCTAGGGGCTCAGGATTGGCCAAGGGGCTTGGGTGGGGAAGCTCTGTGTGGCCCATCACTAGCATCCTCCCTCTTTTGAGATAAGGGAAACTCACTGCTTTAAGACTATGTTTAGTTGCTCAGAAGTTAAGTTTGTGCCCACTTGCCAACTCTACTGCAGGTCGGGAAATGTAACAGGCATCAGGCACAGGGAGTTGTTACTGGACACAGGTTCTCCCTGGTCCAGGGTGGGCCAGTGGTTATAAAGAGAATCAGATGGCTTTCTAGGTTCCTAGACCTTTCATACTCCTCACATACTCCTTATGGCTATGGTTATGTCTATGAGGCAGAGCAAAGCTGGAAGGAGCTGAGAGGCCACGCATGGCCACGGGAAACCCCTTGGACAGGAAGTGCCTTCCCCGTGTCCATTGATTAGCCTTAAAGGTTCCTGAGCCCCAAAATTGCAGTATTTTGCACCTGCAATTTTGGGAGGAGGATAAATGGCACCAGGTTCACTAGGGTTCTGGCATTCTGACCCCACACAGGGGAAGCCCTATGGATTTAGCATGAAGGGTCCCACAAAACTTCTTTGGGGGATGAGGTGATATATCTAGGTTCTCTAAAAAAGGACTCAGGTCCAGCAGGGTATAGTGGCATACACCTGTAATCCTAGCACTAGGCCATCTTGGAGAGCATAGGGAGGCCCCACTATAACCCTCCTCTCCACAAACCTGATAGTCTAGGATATTTAGGTCTAGATAGGTCTCACCCACTGTGAAAAGAGGAAGAGGAATCACTGCTTCCCTAGCTCCTCCTCCCAGGCCATCCATCATGACTGACTCAGCAGGTCCTATACCAGGCCCAGATCCCTCATAGGCCTCCTGTCCATGTCCTACAGGAGGAGACTCCCCTGTTCCTGGCCGCCCGTGAGGGCAGCTATGAGACTGCCAAAGTGCTGCTGGACCATTTTGCCAACCGGGACATCACAGATCATATGGACCGACTGCCACGGGACATTGCTCAGGAGCGCATGCACCACGATATTGTGCGGCTGCTGGATGAGTACAACCTGGTGCGCAGCCCACAGCTGCATGGCACTGCCCTGGGTGGCACACCCACCCTGTCACCCACACTCTGCTCGCCCAACGGCTACCTGGGCAACCTCAAGTCTGCCACACAAGGCAAAAAGGCCCGCAAGCCCAGCACCAAAGGGCTAGCCTGTGGCAGCAAGGAAGCTAAGGACCTCAAAGCACGGAGGAAGAAGTCCCAGGATGGCAAGGGCTGCCTGTTGGACAGCTCAAGCATGCTGTCACCTGTGGACTCCCTTGAGTCACCTCACGGCTACTTGTCAGATGTGGCCTCACCACCCCTCCTCCCCTCCCCATTCCAGCAGTCTCCATCCATGCCTCTCAGCCACCTTCCTGGTATGCCTGACACCCACCTGGGCATCAGCCACTTGAATGTGGCAGCCAAGCCTGAAATGGCAGCACTGGCTGGAAGCAGCCGGCTGGCCTTTGAGCCACCGCCCCCACGCCTCCCCCACCTGCCTGTAGCCTCCAGTGCCAGCACAGTGCTGAGTACCAATGGCTCCCCGGGGAGGAGGAGTGGCTGGCCCCCAGCCAGTACAACCCACTACGGCCAGGTGTGGCATCGGGCACGCTGAGCACACAGGCAGCTGGCCTCCAGCATGGCATGATGGGCCCACTACACAGCAGCCTTTCCACCAATACCTTGTCCCCAATGATCTACCAGGGCTTGCCCAACACACGGCTGGCTACGCAGCCCCATCTGGTGCAGACCCAGCAGGTGCAGCCACAGAACTTACAAATCCAGCCTCAGAACCTGCAGCCACCATCACAGCCACACCTCAGTGTGAGCTCAGCAGCCAACGGGCACCTGGGCCGGAGCTTCCTGGGTGGGGAGCACAGCCAGGCAGATGTGCAGCCACTGGGCCCCAGCAGTCTGCCTGTGCACACCATTCTGCCCCAGGAGAGCCAGGCCCTGCCCACATCACTGCCATCCTCGATGGTACCGCCCATGACCACTACCCAATTCCTGACCCCTCCTTCCCAGCACAGTTACTCATCCTCACCTGTGGACAACACCCCCAGCCACCAGCTGCAGGTGCCAGAGCACCCCTTCCTCACCCCATCCCCTGAGTCCCCTGACCAGTGGTCCAGCTCCTCCCCGCATTCCAACATCTCTGATTGGTCCGAGGGCATCTCCAGCCCGCCCACCAGCATGCCGTCCCAGATCACCCACATTCCAGAGGCATTTAAGTAAACAGTGATGTGGGATGCAGGACCCCAGCTTCCGTTCCCAAGCCCTGTTGGGAGTCGTTTCCAGTGCTCCAGGATGCAGGGGCGACCAAAGGAGCTTTTAAAAAAAAATGTTTTTATACAAAATAAGAGGACAAGAATTTCCATTTTTTTTAGTATTTATTTATGTACTTTTATTTTCCACAGAAACACTGCCTTTTTATTTATATGTATTGTTTTCTATGGCACTAGGGAAAAACGTATCTGTTCCAAGAAAATAAACTAGTTCTCAGAGCCTTGATTTTCCTGGTCAGGGTGAAGTTCCCTGTGTGTTTGTAAAATATGAACAAGGATTCATGATTTGTAAATGCTGTTTATTTATTGATTGCTTCTTTCCAAAATCAAAAAAGAAACCATGACAGAAGGGAAGCTGGCATCTGCCATTGCCAGAAGTTCCTTCCCATCTACCCAGAGGCCTGCCACCTTAGAACCGCTGCCCCCTCCTCCCAGTTTGACCTGGGCTTCGTAGATGTGTTTAGAGAGGCCAAGACCTTCACACGTTGGGCTCATAATTTTGTATCTAAAGCAGAAAGCAAGTAAAATAATGTGGTTTAGACATTTTCTAAAACCACCAGCTTGGGTTTAAAAAGAGGTGTCCTTGGCATGTACAGAGAGTGTGCTACCCGGTACCAGTCATGAATCTTCAGGCTTCAGTGTTCCATAGTAGTGTTTATGGGCTTTGGGGGTACTTCCCTCCCGCCTTGCCCTGCCCCACTGTCCCCTTCCTGACATCTTAAGCCAGTGAGCCATGCAAGATGTGGTGCCTCCTGGGACCATGTGGAGTAACCCCACCTCCTGGAGAAAGACACGCCTGGACTTTTCCCTGGGGGGCCCCAGCATCACTCCTTGAACAGCGTCATCCAAATTTAACTGAGGATGGACTGTCCCTGTCCTGTCTGGGCTCCTGAGACCTGACTGCTGAAGGGCTCCAATGTGCATTGTAGACTCACCAGAGTAGCCTGCGTTAAGTCCTCAAGGAAATCTGGGCTGTGCAGTCCTCTGACCCGCTAACTGCCCTGGGTGGGGACATGCCTTGAGTGTGGTGGAATGTGGGTGGAGCCTGCTTCTGGGAGATCCCTCCTGGTTCAGGGCGGTGCTCACAGCAGTTTCTTGCAGTATCAAGTATAAGCCTGTGGCAGAATAAGTATCTGTAAATACATGTTTAAAGGTGGATTTTGTTTAAAAAATCTAAAGGAACCAGTCTGTCCTGTGTCAAACTGATGAAGAATGTGAGAATGTGGCTCAGCTCAGTGTGACCCAGGCCTCATGACCTGCAGCTGCCGAACCAGTAGCTCCTAAGAGCACAACCCAGGATGGCCCATCTGCCGTCCACCAAGCCCTCTCCCAGCCACTGTGTGCTGGAGGCTCGCTCAGGGGCAGGTGTCCACCTCCTCAGGGCAGCTCCTCCTGGCTTTTGTGGGGGGGGGGCATTGTCTGTGCCATTCCTAGTAGGTATGACCAGACACATCCTAAGATGTTGATTCTCACCATGTTTTATAAAATAAAGCGTAGTTTACAGAAAAAGAAAACTTTTTAAAAATGTTATCTACATGTAAAACTGTAGGTAATGAAAATGATGTATTTTTTCATCTTTTTTGTTAACTAATTTGCAATAAAAATGATGCTGATGGTCATCCAGATTTTGCTAAACTTGGAGTGTTGTTTTGCTCACTTTGTGGGGTGGGTGGCAGAGCAAGGGCCACCATGCACTGAGATAACAGAAATCAGAACTCTCTCTTACACAGCAATAATAAAGAGGTGTTCACAGGGATATTCCATTCCCAGAAACTTCACAGCTCAGGGCATCAAGGTGGAAGACAGTTGCCCGAAGAGTTGATGCAGTCCCCTTAGGGGCATGAGGATTTGATGTCAACTCCATCCCGTCAGCTGCAGAGGAGTCAACGCCTTTCAATGTTGGATATGACTGTCCTCTGAGCCCAATAACCTCCATCATCTTCAAGTTCAGCTGTGCCCTCTTGCAACAGATTATCCCAGTTGAGCCTGTTGACTGTTTATAACCCCCCCCCCCGAAAGGGTTAGGAGGGTCATGGGACTCATAGGACCTTCACCTGATGATCTAGTAACCGCGCACTGCTTGTTGTATGCAATCCTGCCCTAATTGTGCATGACCTCAAGGAGGGACTAGAGTATTTAGTCTGGGAACACTAGTGGAGGGAGTCTCCATCTATGTGGCTGTGAGTGCAACAGATTATCCCAGTTGAGCCTGTTGACTGTTTATAACCCCCCCCCCCGAAAGGGTTAGGAGGGTCATGGGACTCATAGGACCTTCACCTGATGATCTAGTAACCGCGCACTGCTTGTTGTATGCAATCCTGCCCTAATTGTGCATGACCTCAAGGAGGGAGGAGTGGATTTAGTCTGGGAACACTAGTGGAGGGAGTCTCCATCTATGTGGCTGTGAGAAAGTTATCTCTGCTAGATAAAGACTTTTCAATGCGGATTTTTTTTTTTCCTTTGGTAGGGAGATGCATCCACACTCAGAAAGTAACCTTCACCTGTGTTCTGTATGTCAGCCCAGTAGATCCATTGGTGCCTAGGGTCGATTGTGGTGGAATTGTATCTAGCACTATCATTAGGACCTTAGGAGGAGGGGTAGGTGTTGTCTCCCCCTGGGAAGGAATTTTAGCAACATTCATCTAGCCAAAGAGTCCCTGCAGCAGGCAGAAGGGAACATGGGGAGAGGGCCTTGGGGCAAGCACCCAAGACCTAAGAGGGAGGACAAAGGGAACTGAAGAAACAACAGAGCAGGGCAGCATGTGACATGGTAAGGTTTGTCTGAAAATAACTATGATCCTAAGAGGGTGAGTGCTACAAAGGCATCCTAGCCCTGAGAAGAAATCAGCATAGTAAGGTATGGATTGTCTCTCTTCCTTCCCGGTCCTCTTCACTTGACCCACTGATATCCAAGGGGATATCAGGAGCCTCTAACCAAAGTGACCAGGGGGAGTGTGGTGCACTCTCAGAGTCTGGCCATCTGACAGCAAATGTGACTGACTCAAGTTCAGATGTCCTGTCTGGGCCCAGTGTTGCACATTGTGATAGCAGAGAGGCCTGAGGTCCCAGAAGAGGCGCTCACACATAGAATTATGGTAAGTTGTCTAATTCTTGCCCTCAAGGGGAAGGTCTGAGCCTGAATTCTGCCCAAAGAATTCCTGGACCCCTAAAATTCCACCCTGAAATGGAAATGACAGTGGAAAGGGCCTAGCAGGCTCAAATGCTAGAGAATGTGTGTTCTCTATTGCATCATCCACAATTGCATGTGCAACCCAGTGTCCATCAATGATAGACAAGGTCTGTCCACACTGAGATGGCTGACCATTGGGCACACATTTGGACTGGGTTTGGGGTGATAATATTAGCATTCACAGACAAAGCAACGGCCTTACCCATTTGGGAAAATCTTATTTAGCCAGTGTGAAGTCAAGGGAGTGGGGAACCCTGCCTGCTGTGGTAGAACATGGGTCCTCTCATGCCTTCAGACTCCCACAGATAGACTGCCTGTTCTTCAATCTCTAGAACTTGGGCCATTAACAGGTCAGGGTCTCCAGCTTGCCAAGTGTAGCTCTGGGAACTTCTCAACCCCATAACTGTGTGCACCCTATGGTCCATTTTTTCTCTGTATGCACCCTAATAAACATTTAATGAAATAGTTTTCAGCCATTAAAAGGAACAAAGCTCTAAGATCCACTAAAATGTGGGTGAACTGTAGGAGGACATTGGGCTCAGCGAAAGAAGCCTCACAAGTGACCATAATTCCATTTTTATGAAATGTCCTCAGTAATTAAAAGCCACAGAAGCAGAAACCAGAGTGGCCATTCCTGGGGTCAGGGAAATTGGTATGACTGTCTGATGGCAGTTTGAGTTGGCATAATGGATATTCCAGCACTGTCTAAGAGGTGGGAGGCTGCATGGCACTGTGAAGGTCTCAGACCTGTCAATGCTAGAATCCATTACTGTGAGTCTACTAAAACTAGCAAAGAAACCCAGCAACAGAAGAAGTTTTTGTTTATCCTCACGGACATAATGATAAGTTCTCTTATTTTATGACAGGATCTTGTTGTGTATCCCAAGTTGGCCTCAGACTCACCATACTCCTGCCTCAGTTTCCCAAGTGTTGGGATTCTAGTGCGTACCACACTCAACTAAGCCTAGTACTTTTAAGGAGCATCTATCTGCCTCTAAAGTCATTGGAAACAAATAAAAAATGTAAAACAATATTAAGAGCTAGGGATGCAGCCTGGTAGTGGAAAATTTGTTTACTATGCACAGCACTCCAGATTCCATCTCCAGGACCAAACAAAGTAGTCAATAAATTGACTTGGGAGATAACAGTCAATAAAGTGCTTGAAGTGTAACCCTGAGCACCTGGGTTTGAGCCCATATAAAAAAGCTGGGTGTGGTAAATTGCTGTAATCTCAGCAGCACCATTGAGGTGGGGAGGTGGAGACAAGTGGATTCCTGGGGCTCACTGGCTAGCCAGCCGTGGCTAATCAGGGAGCCCCAGGTCCCCATGAGAGACCCTGTCTCAAAAACAAAAACTAAAACTCAGGGACTGAAAAGATGGCTCAGATAGTAAAAATCCCTGCTGCACTAGCACCGAATTTGGATCCCCAGCATCCACATAACAGCCTGGCATGACCACACATCTGTAAGCACGTGTGGGAGTGGAGAGGACGACGGGATCCTGGAGCTCCATTGGCCTAATCAATCAGTACAACGCCAGGTTGCTATGAAGCAGTGATAGACCCTGCTTCAGAAAACAGGGTGGACTTGGACATGGTGGCAAGAACTTTTAACCCCAGCATCAGGAGGCAGAAGAAGAAGGATCTCTGTGAGTTCCAGGCCAGCCTGCTCTACATATGAGAACCAGGACAGCCCAGAGCTCATAGTCTCAAAAACAAACTAAAAAACCTAGATGGAGAATGAGAAAGACACCCTCTAAACTCCAGAAACACGCGCGCACTAAAAAACCTAGATGGAGAATGAGAAAGACACCCTCTAAACTCCAGAAGCACGCGCGCGCGCACACACACGCACGCACGCACGCGCGCGCGCGCACACACACACACACACACACACACACACACACACAATTTAAGAACTAAATGAAGCACTCAGCAGCTATGCAGCCCAGAGAGGAAAGGGAGTTTTCTAGTCTCCGCCTTCCCTTGTTTATGGGGAATACAGGACAGCAGGCCCTGCCATCTCCTAGCAAAAATATTCCAGGACAAAAACCCAAGCAGACAGAGGTGTGGAAATGAGCTCTGTGACACAGACACACATGGAGGGATGGCCATATACAGACATGGAAGCAGAAGCAACTGCAGGCTGAGTGTGGCCTTGAAGCAACCTGCCCTGTGGCACCTGGTCTAAGACATCAGCCTCCAGGATAAAGTGAATTCCCATGAGAGCCAACTAACCAGTGTGTGGACTGTTACACAGCAACCTGGGTAGACTGATCCAAGAGTCCAAGGCCCAGGTCACCTCTTGGCTGCCAAAATCTCTCAGAGACACAGGCCAGTGGGCCCCCTAAGTACTATCCTTTTCCCATTATGAGATGCCACTGTCCCCAGGTATCTGTCATCTTACACTGTTTTTGTTGGGTTTTACTTTAGAAGAATAGTTATTACATATATACTACAAGAGGGTAGTGGGTTGGGCAATATAGAGCAGCCTGAGGCAGGGGCTCACTATGTCACTTTGGATGGCACTTGTGATCCTTCTAACTCAGTCTCCCAAATTCTGGGATTGCAAGTATGCTTCACTTGGCTTGACTTTATAAGTCCTACTTTTCAATATTCAACGTATGTAAGTAGAACCATGGTGAACCCAATACTCCAGAGGCTGTGGCAGGAGGATTGCCACAAGATCAAGGCCAGCCTGAGTTATATAAACAGTCGGACCCTGTTTCAAAACTAACAAACAACCAGATATAAATAATCCAAGAGAAGACAAGCACATTCCTTTAATCCCAGCACTCAGGAGGCAGAGGCAGGAGGCTCTCTGTGAGTTTGAGGCCAGCCTGGTCTACAGAGTGAGTTCCAGGACAGCCAGGGCTACCCTGAGAAACCCTATCTTGAAAAACCAAAATAAAAGAGAAGAAAAGAAAAAAAACACAAAAAACTCCCCACCCCACCCCCTGAAAAACTAGCCCCTCATTCCTCCCTTTCCCCCAAGTGTCCTTCCTTCTCCTGCCTGTGTAGTTTTGGGGTATGAGGGGTTCTGTCCTTTTGAAGAAGAAGGGCTTCCTTAGCCAACAGAAATGTTACTGCAGCTACATAGGTCATTTAAAACACTTCATAACCCTTCAAAAAAGTACAAAGGAGGAGGTGAATTTATTTCAATAATACATCTTGGTTCATCCAGTGGAGCCACAGTTACCACACTTAACCAGCAGTCAGCATAAGCAAAGTACTAAAAAAGACTGAGTTCACATTC